GGTATATAGAGTTTAAAATTGGATTTCTTTTGTGTTTACTATTCAAATATTGAAAGAGTGAATATATATAATTAGTTCAGCTTTAGTGCACAGCATGTGACAGTCAATTGTCTTTTGTGCCACACTGGTTTTGGATAGCTTGCCAAGTGTACATTTCTGAAATACGATAGAAAAATAATGCACTCCTCTTTATTATAGCTGGATATTCTTAAAAATAAAACAAAGTCCATTCTATTGTGTTGCTACTTAAGTGTGGTTTAATAACGTATATATAGGGGCTATGCACTGGGAGGTTTTTGATATAGGGAATATCCCGAGGGATAAACAACTCCGCCTATGCTGACATGTTTATTCCGAAATACAGTAGAATATGTTCTGAATAAAGTAATGTATGTCATGTATGTATGTCACATATACCTGGATATTGAATACTAGTTTTCAGTAAACATGTCTGTTTACATGTTGCTTTGAAGGCCCCATATAAAGTTTAAACCATTTTGGTTTATATCACCCTGCTATAGCATGACGGTTACGCCACCTCTGAAAACGAGGCTGGACGGCTACGTTCACTGATTTATCCAATAAATCAATGGCCGCGATTGAACAGAAAACTAAGGTTGGTGCATTATTTTCTACTTCTCAACTGTGTATCAAAGAAAGGATGAACGATTTATGTAAGCATCGCATTCAGTGATGCATTTAGTAATGTCTATTTTGAACGTAGTCTGCAAATTGATGCCCGGGGATAACATGAAATAAGCGAAAAACTGTCGAGTTTGAAATTCAAAACTACACAAAATTTAGTAATTTGTTTATTTTTGTCGTTAGGGCATGGTCTACATTGCCTAACGACCTCGGGGTATATACAGCGTGTCTCAAAAATGTACCCAAAAGTATATCAACAGCACAGATAAACTAATCAATACTTTCAGACATTTTTTGCATGGTCATGTAGCCAAAACATGAAAGTTTTCTCTCCAATACACCATTTTTATTTCAGTCTTGCCTTTTTTGATGCTTTAACCATTTAGCTTTTACACCACATAATCAATGCTTACTGTTACATTGTTTATCACATTTGATAATAATTCCGGTGGAATGTTTTGGATTTCTCTTTGGATGTTGCCCTTAACTTGTTCTTTGCTTGGAATGAGCATTAAAACACTCCTACTTCAAATAGCCACAGAGAAAGATGTTTGAGGATGGCGATGGCAGAACAAACACAGAGAATCAGGTCAGTTATCGGCAAATGATTCAGGAGTTACCTTCAAGAGTTACGCAGGCTAGCCTGGAGACCAAATGATATCCAAATGAAAACACAGTGGTCTCAAATTGATACACACAACAAAGGCTACACTAGAATCCCAACCAATGCAGTTTCTTGAACGTCTGACCTCTCTGTAAAAGGGGGCTATAAGGGCCTTCCTATTCACCAGATTTGATGGCCCATACTTTTTTCTCTGGGGCTATTTGAAGGACCAGCATCTGAACAGAAATCAAAACATTCCACGAGAAATATCAAATGTGATGAACAATGTAATAGTAAGGGTGCAGACTATCATCGAAATATGAGGTTACATTGAATATGTGGGGCAAAAGGTAACGGGTTAAAATATCAAAAAATTAGTACCGTGGGTACTGGGCTCACATGGTGTTGCTCAAAAATGAATGATGGCTACAATGACAATGCAGGACACCTAAAATTATTTGTAAAGCTAGGAAATGAGCCAAATAAGAATTTCCCGAAACAAAAATGGCGGCCATTTTGAAAATAGCTTTTGAACCAGGAGTCATAAGGGAGTTTTTTTGTATTGATGCTGAACAAAAAAAACTTAAAACTAGAATCCTATCGACAGAGGTCTCAAGGCAAATGGTCCAAAAGTGGATTTCGTGAGACAGATGGACAAATCAATGTTAACTAAAATGGTAGAAAATAAAAAATCGGATATAATTTTTTGCCGATTTTTTGTAACAAATTTATTTCATACAACTTCTCTTAACAGTGACGTGGCTTTTTACAATGCAGGACACCTGAAATTATTTGTAAAGCTAGGAAATAGGCCAAAAGTGAATTTCGCGAAACAAAAATGGCGGCCATTTTGAAAATAGGCGAATTTTTGAACCAGGAGTCATAGGGGGTCTTCTGTATTGATGTTGTACAGAAATAACCTAAAACAGGAATCCTATCAACAGAGGTTTTTTCAAACGTGCCACTTTTGTTGACAGAAAAGTGGATTTTGCGAAACAGATGGACAAATCAATGTTAACTAAAATGGCTGAAAATTAAAAAATGGATATAATTTCTTGCTGATTTTTTGTAACAAAATTATATGATACATCTACTCTTTACAGTGACATGGATTTTTACAATGGAGGACAACTGAAATTATTTGTAAAGCTAGGAAATGGGCCAAAAGTGAATTTCGCAAAACAAAAATGGCGGCCATTTTGAAAATAGGCGAGCTTTTGAACCAGGAGTCAAAGGGGAGTTTTTTTGTATTGTTGTTGAACAAAAAAAAACTTAAAATGGAATCCTATCGACAGAGGTTTTGAGCCAAAGGGTCCAAAAAGTGGATTTCGCGAAACAGATGGACAAATCAAAGTTAACTAATATGGCAGAAAATAAAAAAAACGGATATAATTTTTTGCCGATTTTTTGTAACAAAATTATTTCATACAACTACTCTTTACATTGACATGGAATTTTACAATGTAGGACACCTGAAATTATTTGTAAAGCTAGGAAATGGGTCAAAAGTGAATTTCGCGAGACAAAAATGGTGGCCATTTTGAAAATAGGCGAGCTTTTAAACAAGGAGTCATAGGGGAGTTTTCTGTATTGATGTTGAACAGAAATAACCTAAAACAGGAATTCCTATCGCCAGAGGTTTTAAAACGTGCCACTATTGTTGACAGAAAAGTGGATTTCGTGAGACAGATGGACAAATCAATGTTAACTAAAATGGCTGAAAATAAAAAAACGGATATAATTTTTCACCATTTTTTTTGTAACAAAATTATTTCATGCAACTACTCTTTACATTGACATGGAATTTTACAATGCAGGACACCTGAAATTATTTGTAAAGCTAGGAAATGGGTCAAAAGTGAATTTCGCGAGACAAAAATGGCGGCCATTTTGAAAATAGGCGAGCTTTTGAACCAGGAGTCATATATAGGAGAGTCTTCTGTAATGATGTTGAACAGAAATAACCTAAAACAGGAATCCTATTGACAGAGGTTTTAAAACGTGCCATTATTGTTGACAGAAAAGTGGATTTCACAAGTCAGATGGACAAATCAATGTTTACTAAAATGGCTGAAAATAAAAAAATGGATATTATAAGTTTTTGCTAATTTTTTGTAACAAAATTATATGATACATCTACTCTTTACATTGACATGGATTTTTACAATGTAAGACAAAAATAGCGGCCATTTTGAAAATAGGCGAATTTTTGAACCAGGAGTCATAGGGATGTTGTACAGAAATAACCTAAAACAGGTATCCTATCGACAGAGGTTTTAAAACGTGCCACTATTGTTGACGGACGGACGCATGGGCGGACGGACGAACGGACAGACAGACGGACAAGTGAGTGATTGCAAAAGCTCACCATGTGAACTAAAAAGGCAGAACTGAATTAAAAACTGTGTATAGGGGAAAAAACGTTCATGTTTTGATTACAAGACCACGCAAAAAATGTCTGAATATATTGATTGGTTTGTCTATGCTGTTGTTATACCTTTGGGTACATTTTTTGAGACACCCTATATATGTAACCTACATACGATCATAAAAAGCCAATTGAGCATTGGAAACCACCTACCTCAAGCCATAATAATGTATTTTGAATTTGTGGTTACGCAGAAAAATTGATGGACTGTTACGCGAATCTCGTTCAAATATGTATCCCAGATTCATTGTTATTAATTTTGTCATATTCATCAGTACTTGATGCTAATTCTTCATTTGCCTCTTCATTGCTATCTTTTTGACTTTCATTGGTTATAAATAAAGCAAGACACAATTTTTTCCTTGCCCTATAGAGGCTCAAACAAGAGCGCCTCTTGCGAGTCCTGAAAACAAATATAAGGAATTCAATATTCCATTTCTTACCCATTATAACAATGAAATGAAAAGAGGCTATCAGAACTAGCAACCTTGACTTGAAGGTGTACATGCATGTAGCCATCCGCTAAATATCTAATATACAACTAATGCAATACGTCACCGTCCATAGAATTCATACGTAGTCGTCTAACGACATTGCGTTTGATTGCCTTATTATTTATAATATACATTTATATTTTGAAAAAAAGTTGTCTCTCGGTGTGAAATATTTTTTTGATATGCTAAAACATTTAAGTGGCACACAAGGTACATGTATGGTAATTTCATCATTATTAAAATAGTATGTCCTTTGTTTAATCTTCCCAGTGGTGTTGAAAAAGTTAAATATCTTGCACTATATAGTGGAATATTTGATTTATAAAAATCTGCCACTTTTTACCCCTATTTTCCAAAAATCGTTGAAATAACTTTTAAAGTCATGCAAAATAGTAACTGAATGACATAAACATATTTTCAAACTTCAGATGGGGTCTTACTCTTTAACCTCCCTATTGAAGACATATAATTCTTTTGACATTAGAAATGCATGTATGAAATACCGTTTTATCGTACCAGCGCATAAACATCTCGTATTTTCAACACAAAAAGTATGGATTCATGTAATTCATTGCCTATCAATAAATGTCTGTGACACCTCTAATTTTGTTTCAATATAAATTAATTTTATATATATTCACAGTTTTTTGAACAAGACGCCCTTCAAAAACAGCATTTTGGAATTAAAAACAAAAGCTTCACAATCACATCTTGGTAACATTTGGAAGGACAACCTTTACATGGGACATTATATTCTGACTGTGGCTCGTGTAGTCCTACAATGGAACTTGTCATGGATATTATTCGCACCAGCCTTCAAGTTCTAATCATTGTGTACGCATTAACTAGCAGACTTGGAATAGCTGATAACACAACACTAGCAAGAACAACACGTATGCAAGAAACGACTACAAGTCTTATAATCGAAGAACCTGCTTTTGACGATAGGAAAGTCCTGTTGATTGGAAATATTGTTGTTAATTTTACCGATTGGGTGGATGACGCATTCAGATTTGCTCAGAAAGCGATAGAAGATGTTAACAATAATAAAGAAATGTTTCCTTTATTTAAGCTCAAATTGGACCCCTGTATTCCAGGAGTAAGTATGGTATTGAAATTAATACGATATTAATGAACATCAGCCTGATGATGGTAGAATTGAAGTTCCTGCTGCAGAGTAAAGAATAAGTATGTGTATAAAATGTAATTAAGCCAAATGAAACAAGTATTTAAATATAAATGTAACGAATTATTCCAGGAAAACAACATTGCTAGCGTCACCAGCAAATTATTGGATTATGTCCGCAAAGTGAAAAATACACCGTTTATGTTCACGCCAATCGTAGCACAGGAAACGATAGAAAGCTTGTGTGGCAAATGGGGATGTATAACGGTAGGTCAACATTACTTTTACAAAGATTGTTCCTGAAGTTCTATTTCAGTGGTATATGAAACGTCCCATACGTTTGTCATCAATAAAATCGGAGATATAACTTTAAGTTTATTTATTTGGTTATTTTCGTTATGATAGCACAAGCTCAAAGCAGCATGCTGATTTAGATAGGTGTCTCACAGTGCTTGTCATATCCACGTGTTCGTTGAACCAGAGACCTAGGTATTTGTATTCATGTGTATACTTCAACACTGTGTCTTCAAGCATAAAAACATGGCCTGATTGAGGCGATGTACTTGTTCTGAGTCTGGGACAAATACCACATCATCTGTATCGAGTATGATTGACACATTTTCTATAAGCATAGCGTATGTTACGTACAGTACGCACGTGCGTACCAAATTAATTTGAAAAAAGTTTAAAATATGTTAAAATGCATTAATTTGTTTGCACATTTATTGACGATTCTGTATTTGCATATTATTAACATATTATTAACTAGTCGTATTAACCATTCAGGTTTATCAGAATAGAATTATTTAACGTTGATAAAAACCGCTCAGGTAGCATCAAATAACGTCTTCGTCTCCCGGACCCCCCAATCAGACATACCCAAGTTTGCGTACCAACTCAAAATATAGCCCTAGGCCCATGATGTCATAGATATAGATGTTGAAGAGGGTAGGGGAGATCTGATCGCCCTGCCGAATTCCCGATGATACAGGGAAGTAGTTGGTTCGGTGTTCATTTACTCTCATAGAGCACTTGGCACCAGTATACAGTGATTTTATAGCATAGAACATGTTTCCTCTGACGCCTATTCTCAGTGAATTATAGAACAGACAGGCATGGTTGACCTGGTCAAACGCCTGATTGGCGTCTACGAAACATGCAAATGTATCAGGCCTCTTAAGGTTCCTGTTACGGAGTATTGTATACAGGGAGTGGATGTGGTCTTCACAGTTTCAGAGGAACAGATAGCAGTAATGGTCTCATCTTAAATTACAGACATGTAATACATTATTAAAACTCCTGGATGTTTGTGTATTTATTATTCACTTTCATATTCAGCATTGTGCTTTCTGATTTAAATCTTACTTTTACAGAGACAATCTTTTAACGATGAACTGTAAACTTAACATACATAGCGTGGGGCCATATTGTCGGCCTAGGCGCGTCCGTCCGTCTGTTTGTCTGTCCGTTTGTCTGTCTGTCCGTCCGTACGTCCGGCAGTTATCTCCAAAACCGCTACAGATATCACCTTCAAATTTTCAGGGATAACTTATAAGTGCTTACAGATTTGGATGAAAAAGATTTAACTCGATACCTACTTCCTGTCGGCTATTTTGAAGTCAAATGCTAAAATCCTTGTCTGCAAACTTTAAGAAAAACGGCTTCACAATTGCTTTTAAAACTTTAATATCTTGTTCAGCTTACTTCATTCTACATCTGATTAGGTTTTGGACCTGTTAGCTCAGTCATGTCAGCCATTTTGAATGTCTTAAGAAAAGTTAGTGTGCGATAATACTTTGTATCATATTGAATGGTGTTTTTGAGTTTTCATACTTTAACTATTTAGTAGCTTTATAAATAATTTCAGGTGTACTTTGTTGTAAAAGCCTATGTTATTGTTAACAGTGGTTATATGTGACAATTTTGTAAAAGGAAGTCAGCAAAAACTCATAATCACTTTTTTATTGTCGACCATTTTGGATTTTTCCGTCCTAAAATCTTGTCTGTAAAGTCTTGTCTACGCGTTTTCAGGTGAATCGTTTGGTAGATCAATTTCAAATTTTCTGGGAAGATTCTTAGTATGAAAATCTAGATCTTATTCGTTTTTGGGCATTCTGGGTAAATGTCAAGGCAGCCATTTCGGATTTTCCGTCTTAAAAATCTTGTGTGTAAAGTCTTGTCTAGTACGCATTTCCAGGTGAACCGTTTGGTAGATCAATTTCAAGTTTTCAGGGATGATTCTTAGTATGAAAATCTAGATCTGATTAGTTTTTTGGCATTCTGGATAAATGTCAAGGCAGCCGTTTTGGATTTTCCGTCTTAAAATCTTACCTGTAAAATCTTGTCTACGCATTTTTAAGTTAACCATTTGGTAGATCAATTTGGAATTTTCAGGGATGATTCCTTGTATGAAAATCTAAATGTAATCAGGTTTTTGGCAATCTGGGTAAATGTCAAGGCAGCCATTTTGGATTTTCTGTCCTAAAATCTTGTATGTAAAAGTCTTGTCTACACAATTTCAGGTGAACCGTTTGGTAGATCAATTTCAAATTTTCAAGGATGATTCTTAGTTTTAAAATCTTGAACTGATTAGTTTTTTGACATTCTGGGTAAATGTCAAGGCAGCCATTTTGGATTTTCCAATCTAAAATCTTGTCTGTGAAGTTTTGTTTACATGTTTTCTGGTTAACTGTTTGATGGATGAATTTCAAATTTTCAAGGGTGGTTCTTAGTATGAAAATCTAGAACTAATTAATTTTTGGGCATTCTGGGTAAATTTTAAGGCGGCCATTTTGGATTTCCCGTCCTCAAATTGTGTCGGTAAAGTCTTGTCTACTTATTTTCAGGATAACCATTCGATGGGATCACCCATTAGTGGGGACATTTTGTACACATTTGTGTTCTTGTTTTGACATGAAGCTTGCCATCATGAAAGATGAAATAAATGTACTTGGAGTTACTATACCGCTAGACGCGAGAGAAATTAACGATCTGAATTTTCCAAAAGCCATTCTGAGAATAAATAGCATTATAAAAAGTTGGACCCCAAGGAACATAACCCAAATAGGAAAGATAGTTGTTACAAAGGCCCTTCTTATTGCACAGATCACATAACCCACCATTAAACACTATCAAGGAAATTGAAGATGGCCTCTTTAAATTCATTTCAAGCGATAAACAAGACCAAATTAAAAGAAGAGTCCATATGAACTCATATGAAGAGGGAGGCCTCGAAATGATTCATATTAAAACCTATATACGCAACTTAAAACCTTAGATGATTCAAGAAAGTAATGGATGAAACACGACTTGAAATTCAATGATCTGATCGAGTGTTTCTTTAGAGTTACAATATATTATGTAATTAAATGTACGAAATATACATTGGAATGTATAAGTAAGAGTCATTCACATTCTCAAGTTTTTTTCTCTCTTGAAAAATTCGATATGTGATCCATGTTTCTTAGTTTTCAAAGAAATCTACAAATATTTCGTTGCGGTTTTATCTTCACCGCCATCACGAGTTACCTTGAAATATCAAGACTTCATGCTATCCTCATACTTATAGAACTAAAATGTGACAGTCATTCACCATTCATTAAGCAGTAAAAATTAATTTGCTTCATGGATAACAAAATGTTTCTAGTTTCCAGGTGAATGTCGAGTCTCGCATCATACAAATGTAATCTTGGGCGATCTTTCTGCATGGGGTTGTTTAACGACCGTCTTATTTACTGGCATTTATCAAAATAAACACTTGTGGCTGTTTGTATAAATCATTTTTCATTGGGAGGGATGCCAACCATGCATAAAACATGATAAATAAAAAAAAGTGAACTATGTTTTGTATTCAACTCAGAGTTCGTTTGTACAATCCCCACTCTGTTTTTTTCAAGATATGAGGAAAGTAGGTCTACCAAAAATATGTTTGGGGACTCTTAAGGTATATAACAGCACCATCTTTAGAATTCAGAAGAAGTGAGTAGCTCCTATAATACTCTCATATTCTTTCGTATTCGGGGATTCCCCTTAGCCATCCTATATGGTCATACAAGCCTTATATGGATCTATCACATGATATTCAAAATGGCGGACACCGGTCAGTTGGATTCCTATATGGCCACGTAAGCCTTATATGGATCTAGCACATGGGTACCACGTGATCGAATACGAAGGCTGAACTTTGGGAGATCTCATAACGATAATGATAACTAGAGATATGAAGGCCAAACTGCCCTAATTCACGTCACCATACTAGTCAATGGGCAAAAGGGCAAACGCCTGACTTCGATTTATGTGGCCTCACTGCATGGCCTATCTGAGGTTCTAAAGCTATGTCTAAGCTACATTTTGACACTAAACTCAATAGGGGCCAAACATCTACTTTTTGAAATAATTGGTCAATTGTGACACTACCCCCTCTCTCTGCCGACAGAAATTGAAATTCACAAAAATGAAGGCAAAATTAATACGCCACTTGATTCGAAATTTTCCTTCAGATAACCCAAGTAAACGCATTTTCAGAAGAAATGGCATGTTTTTATTTTTTTATTTGTTTATTTTATCCACCATTTCTGATGTGTTATACATTAATTTTTTATATAAAATTTATAATAGATTAACATATATACAGTGATACATGTACATTGGTAAACATATATACAATATGGTATTATGTGATGCCAGGCCAAGGGTCTGGTCTATTTATGTAAATTTTATGAATATATACAGATATTTCTTTATACTGCTGTATATTAAATACATCACAGGCTCCAAATATCCAGCCCAAAATGGTATCATTAGGGATATCCTGTGTTGTATTAACAACAGATTTAAGAATCCTTAGGATTGCATCCCTTTCCTCATAATTGCCAGGGCATCTAAGGATCATATGACTCAGAGTTTCAGGTTCTAACTTACATACTTTACATACATTCGAAGTCCTACCATTTGTCCATTTGTTAACATTTACCATAATATTTCCCTCACCAATAACCAATTTAATTACAGTTCTGCAACACTTTAAGACTCTTGGGTCTGATTTTGCAATATGCCACCATATAATGGGTTTAAAAATTGGGGATACAATTCTAAACATATAAAGTTTTTTTGAAAGTATGCATTCCATTTGCCATTTTCGTATTTCAATTTGGTGCACTTTGTTTTTAACAATATTTTTCCATTTTACTTTAGGTAATTCAAATTCATGAGACATCATTCTATATATATAGCTTTCAAGGTTATATGCCTCTGCTATCTGGATGCAGTTTCCTATTGGTGAGAAGCTATTTAGGCTCTCATAGGATGCATTGATAATACTTAATACAGCTACCCTTTTAAAGATGCTTGAAAATGGCAGAGATATTAGTTGCCATAAGAGCATTCGTTTATTGATGACTATTTTGGAGGTAAGGGAGTGCCAGCCCAACATAGATGTTGATGCTGCGTTACTTGCATGTTTTTGAATCCCTTGAATTTTCCAAAAAGGTGACAACTGTGCCTACATACTAGCTTACTGACTCGTCATGATCGATCACAATTGTGTTGGGACTACATTCATTTTTGAAAACTACTTACGTATTAGGGCATTTGGGCCGAAACACTGTATTTGAAGCTTGGATTGAATCAACCACGATGGGAATTACAAGAATCGAAAACGTGCATATTTTCAATTAGATGGATTTACCAATTAATGAATAAAGCTATTTTGTTGAAACTTTAGGATGCAGTGAATCGATAAATGAGAACCATTACTGCATCCAAAAGTGAGCATAATTTCCAACACACTGTCAAACATAGAAATGATAAAATATGCTAAATCGGCATTGTATAATTATACATTTGTTGAAACATTCTTGCATTTTCAGTATGGGATGAGTGACCGTATACAATATACCGGGATGAACAAATACCACACAAAAGTACATGCTGCAGCTTCAGATTGTGCCTTTGCTTTCAACGCAATCATCGAACGTTTTAAATGGGAAAAGATTGGTTTACTGGTGTTCAATTTCGAACGGGTGACTCCGGTACTTATCATCTAATCTTTATTTTTAATCATGGTATAACATATGTGTAGTACCATAGATTTTCAACTTCTTGTTTCATAACAATAGCGGAGAAATGATTTAGTGTTTTTGGAGCGTTTGCAATGTATCATCTATTGGAATGTCAGCCCTTATTATTGCTGGTTCGGTTTTAACGTTTTCCTGACTGTGTTTTAATACTTTTTAGGAGAATGTGCACTTGAAACAGTCCAGACCCGAGACAGCAAACATTTTCAGGGTTGCTTCTTTATATAAAAAGTTTAGATCGACTACTTGCTTGGCAATCAAGATGCCTGATCTAGGTCATCCATGGGTGGCAACATTTATATTTTCTATAGGTTTGTGTCTGTTTTATAGGTTGCTTCTCTGTTTAAAGAAGAGATTGGAAAGAGAAATGTAACTGTGGGAGCTGAAATACTGTTTGATATTGATAGCTCATCACCTGATATCATTTGGGAGTCACTAAAGGTATTTGAGGTGGTTCATTGAGTAAATATCCAATACCTTAGTGTGTAATTCCTCTTCATCGCAAAGCACTATTTAAAGGGGCAACAAGGACTGTAGAGAGAAAATTCGAAATTTTTTACTTTTCCTGAGCTATAAGGGCAACATTTGGCTTAAAATCTTCTTTGACATATCTATTTTCTTAAAATCTATGGATACACTATCAATTTCAGCATTAAGAAGTGTAAATTTAGTTCAAAACTTCTATAAAGGGAATCCCACTTATATATTTTTACGATCCACCACCTTTCAAGAGGAATATCAGCTGATATAATAATGAACGAAAAAAGGGAATTTAAAAGTTATACCTTGTATTGTGCATATAGATGTACGTGCACAATTACGGTCTTCTTTTTTTATAGGACATTCGGATCTTCGTTGTTTTCGCTCCTCACATGGGTTCAATTGGCATGTTACCTCTTCAGTATATGTTGTGTAAGGTAATCGACACATCTTAATTTGACAGAAAGCATAAGGTAGTTGTTGTTAATTTACTCTCCGGGTAAGATATATCTATAGGGTGTCAAATAAGTATTTTGATGATGTCCTTAATAGTAAGTGTGCCCTCCTCTAGCAGTTTTTATTGCGTCAAAATGAGAAGGATATGACCTCAGCAAAACGATAAAAACTTTATCCTTGTCGCAATCCACTTTTTACAAAAAGTCTTCACCACTATCCTCCCCCCTCTATTTTCTACACATCTTACCCTATCCACAAATTGGTTAAATTCACTGCCATATACATATCTTGTCATCTTGATCTTCTTTGATCTTTCCAATGATATATCACACTTGGTACCATATAGCAGCTTGGTTATGGCTGTATACCCTGTATATAATTTTCTGGTTTTATTACCATTTTATATGCACTTGATGTTCTAGCCAATGACATAAGGTACCACTGAACCTTTATATTTAGTTTTAGAACCAATAGGATTATATTTTTTCAAGCAAATGCCTCTCTTCATGCAGGAGATACGGTTGTGCAATGTACAGACAGTTCTTTTTGTAGTTGTACAAGCACGGATACTACGGAAGACATCACGTGATACTATCTTACTACCCAACTGTTCAAGAGCAATGGGATTCTGTTGATGAGACAAATTTCGAATGTTCACGATCACAAATGTTCGAGGTTCTTCAAGGTGCCTTGGGTTGTTCCCTATCAGTGTCAACCCTTCTTGAGAAATACGACAACGAGCGGCATTTCAAAACAAACCAGGTTAAAATCTTCCAACCAAATGATATATACATAGGTAGTAGGATCCTGTAAGGTCTTCTGATGCATAACATATCCATCTACATTCAGTAAAGGGCTAGTAGGGACGTTTATGAAAACCGTAAACACTGTTAAGAATATGTTTGCATTTCTAAATTTTGTTGACTGTATTGGTACTTAATCAATTTGCAAAAGACTGAAATCATGCTTTTAATGTATTGGTTATTTCAGGGTAACAGGGTGACATATTTCAAGTAATAGAGAGCAATATATCCAACATTTGACCATAGAACTGATCAACTTTTACAGCGATTCACAACCAATAATGAAAGGACCATGTGCAATATGGCAAGTGATTTTAGACGGTCATATCTTTCACCATGAGTACTTTCTGGGCATAAATACAGTGGTATTTATTAAAACAATATGATTTCTTTCAAGGGAAGTCCCCATGATGATAAAAATGTCAATCGAACAATTCGAAAAATTATGGATTAGGACCCCACGTCAACAATTTTTTCAAAATGTTGAACTTAATTTGCTCAAAAGAGGATCTTCTTTTTTGATTTTTATTGCATGAAAACATTATTCAACAAGAGGTCTAAAACGTCTTCAAAAGTAGAATGGTATTGAAAGTCTAGTTTTGAAGATATTAATTTTAATAATACATACATATGAGCGGCTTTGTAAAAAAACATTATAAGCCACTTTATCAATTTTCGATGACCAAAATCATGCTGAAAACAATGGATAGCATGAGTTTTCCCTATGGGAAAATAACATGGGAAATGTGGTTTTTAACTTTATCGCATTTCAATTCTCATCCCCTTTTCAAAAGTTATTAATATAGTGTAGAAATAACTCTTGATACATTTAAATTGAGAAAAACAAAATCTTCTATTTAGAAAATAAGATTTACATTTTTTAAAAAGTGACAAGGTGGGGTCCTAATCCATAATTTTTCAGAGAGTGGGATTGATATTTTACTAGCGTGGGGACGTCACTTTAAAGAAAACATATTGTTTTAATAAATACCACTATTTATACCCAGAAAATACTCATGGTGAAAGATATGACCGTCTAAAATCACTTGCCATACTGCACGAGAACCTTTTACCTTCACTTGAAAACAACAACACTCATGGACTTGACAATATTAGTATCGAAATGCTTAAAATTAATGCAACTTTATTAAGGATACCGCAAGCTAGGCTTTTCAATAACTTTTTACAGAATGACTTCTTCCTATCTTCTTAGAAGGATGGAAATGTATCAGTTATTTACAAAAAGGGAAAATATCAGATTGTTCAAATTATAGACCTTCCTTGTCAAATAGATGCAGGTGTCCCACAGGGTTATATTCTTGGACCATTCTTTTTAATTTATATATATGATTTGTCCGATGATCTAAATTCCTTTTGCTTTCTGTATGCTGATGATGCACCGCTCTATCATCCTTACTCAAAAAATCATCCAAACTCAATTGACCTACTTCACGACGATTTGAACTTTCTAAAATTGCTGATGTTATAATACATATTTTAAACTAGCTAATTTCGTAAGACATTTGGAGCTAAAACGTGCATAACACACACAATCTTCTTCAGAAATAACTCTACTGTCTATCGAAATAAAAATTACCAGCATAGTAGTCCACAGACACGAGTATAATGATTCCCATTGACACCAACGTGACATTTCAAATTTCCCATTCAAAACTCTAAAATTGAACGGGTATCTGAAGTAGACTAAAGCGCATTTAAAACTATGCGCGCTTGACATATTCCTTTGTTAATCCATGTACTTTTCGTTCACGGTTACGTTGTGAAAAACATTGCAAGCTTAAACTCTCTACTAACTCTACTTGCAAAACTTTCAGAGCTACACAAGCTATATTAACTACAACTAATCACAATAAATCAAATGACACATTTCAAAAATATATGGTTCATTATCATGCATTTAACACGTTCTGTTTTAGACATATACTGAGTTGAGATATATTGTTAAGCCAAGGAGCAATGATGAAGTGAGACGGTACTATCAGTCATTTTTGTATGATACCATTTGGGCAACGGCATTGGCTATTAACAAAACCATACAGGATTATGGAGGCGTCAATGAAGTTAAGAATTATAAATTCAATGAAGACAGCACTAAGCTTTTATTGAATTCTCTGTATGATAGTCTCCTAAAAGTCGACTTTCAAGGAATATCGGTGAGTGTCGCAGTCTAAAGTAGATGTAACTTTTTAGATAAACAGTTTTCCTTGAGATTTCTTTACAGAAATATGAAAAATTATTTTTAGGGAAAGAACAAATACAACTTCCACACAAATAGCGGCCTTTGCATTAATTTGATATGAAAATATTCAGTCCATCTCAAATAGAATTTCTATCTCCTTGGGTGCAACAAAATGTTTTGCAATTTTGACTCTATCGTATTAACTCTATTGAGTCGTGTTCTCATATTTGGCACATATATTGATCATACATTTATAAATGTGCCTGTAGAATTTGGAGACTGGATCTTTATTTGTTTAGAAAATATTGTTGTCATAGCAACAGAAGCTGCGACCATATCTTTATAACCAATCACAGATGAGCAACCAAATCATGGCATATTAAGCTTATGTATGGATAAATATTCTATAATTGTGTCTTTCAAAACAGATCTCAATGTAGAACTTGAGATAGAGTCAAAACTCAAAATATTTTAATACACCCTACACCTAGTTGTGTCAATTGATTCCTTATCTAACTTAAATTTTGTTATTTAGGGTCATTTCTATTATAACAATACTCGGGGCTTCAGACAGTTCAAGACCTATATTGGACTTTTTGGTTGTGAGTACATCTTTACATTTAAAATAAAATGTTTTACTATCTTAAAGTGTTATTTTTTATTGCAAATAAAATAATATAAGTATAATAATTAATATTTTACGTACACAGCTGAAGGTGAATTGTCGACAAGCATTGGTTATGTTGTCGTGGATAAAAAAGAGGTTGCAATAACTCAGCCTGATGACATTATATGGAAATCAAAAGGTATTAATTACTATATTTACAGTGGTACTACCTAATCCGAGTAGTTAATTACCTGAATGGTCAAATTTTATCATTTTCCTAATTTCAATTTTCTGAATGACAAGAAACTTCCCAGTGGATAACATTATTAAGATAATATTTCCGACAAACTACGGCAAATTAAACGATTAGGCAAAATTACCCCTTATACAGTAATTCTTCTGGTATGAAACATTCTTCTGGTCACGCCTATATGCTTACCATAAATATATTATTTTCCATTAAAACAACATATTTTCTTCAACATAAAGTTATAATAAAAAATATCGTACAACTCTCCGAAAAAACATTGTCTAGGACCCCATCTCGACACATTTTTGACTTATTCCAATTAAGAAGAGAACCTTTCTTGTTACAATTAAAACCCTATCCCTACATAAATTCGACATATTTAGACTTATATTATTTTTAAGGTGGATCTACCCCACTCGATCGGGAAATCAAACAATATGAACGCAAGGGTATTAACAGCACTGCCATTATTGTGCTTTCTGTCATCGCATCCATTGGTATTTTCCTAGCGTCGATCTACATCGTATACGCAATTTGCCATCGCGACCACGTGTAAGTACAATTCAACCTACTTAAAATGACTTCAAAATGTCTACAAAACTTATTGTAATAAAAATATGGTTCATTAAAGGTTCATTATTCTCTTGATCTTCACGATTGCCATTTTTATATTGGTCTAAAACCTGTATAGTAAAAGGCAGGATGTAATGTGTTATCTTCGTCGAGATATATTTTGAGGTTGTGTGTCACAAGGTAGAGTAACGTTTTCAAGTATCATACGTTTCAAATTAATATTTAGCAGTTAGCACATAGCTCGATTTAATGTGCGATATTTATCACAGTGTGTCTTGTAACCTTGGCTGTTGTATTGAATGGACAATGCGCACGTATTTTCAGGATCATCAAGGACGAATGGCCGATAATGACATGCGTAATTATTGTTGGATGTATCATATTGGACCTTTACGTTTTGATTCACATCGCTGACCTTCAGACTGGTGTTCATCCAGAGCCCCCACACGGGGATATATGTATGGTAAGCAGTATTGTACGATGAAGATGAAATCCGACTCCAGCGATATAAAATTGTTAAAGAAGACAGCAAGAAGAAGTAAACATCAAGGAGTAAACTAGTCATAATGTAAATGGGCGATGGAAGGCCGTGGGTGGCGAATAAAATACAACAGAAACTATGATTTAAAATGTCTAAAAAAGTCTATTTCAAAATCTGATACATGTATCTCTGCAACAATTGACTAACTAACTGACTTACTGGGCAACACCCAAACTCATGAGTGAGTGAATGTGATCTATATATATATAACATGAAGACATGAATGAAAAGTAAAAACAAACACAGCATGAAACAACATACAAAACTGGTTTAAACAATAGAACATATATACAAAAGTGACTTGCAAACAACATGGTTATAAATATCTGAAATACTGGATGTAAAAGTAGTTGATGCAAGAAGATTAAAAGGACCTGTTAAAATGAACAAGGAAACAAATGGGGATTGATCAATATGAAATTCAAAATATGAAATAGCCTGGTTACATTCACGCGGACAACGTCTTCAATGGTCCCACATTAAACCTTATTCGGCCATAAACATTAAAAATAAGTTTTAAAAACATAATAAGCTGCACTTTTCAAAATGATTTACAATAAAATATTTAGTAAAGGTTTATCCTCCCCTGAAAAACATCCACGACCTTAACAAAATACAATATAAATAACACCATATTGAAGTGCCTAAGAATTAACACATGCACATAATACATTAATTGAATAACAATAGAAACAGTAATGAAGTGGCATCATACTTGAATCAATGCTACATTTTAGATAATGAAATTTGCATTGCGTTACGATAAACCTTAAGAATATGAGCAAAATATTTAGAATTGTATCTCTTGGCAGCACCATTATAGGTTTAAATATACACCATTCTGTGGCAAAGTAGTACACCATGATTGGCTATGTTATACACCATTTAAAGCAGTTATGCATCAATATTAAGACCAAGCAATACACCATTTAAGGCAATGCTATACACCACTAGAGATTATAATTAAATTAACATCTGCAAATATTGGGATTGTAAATGGTTTAACTATAATGCAGCAAAGATGCAAATGTAATTACTTGCATGATTGTCATATTTAAGTCAAACTTAAAGAAAATGTAGATTATAATATTATGTATAAAATTGAAACACATTGATTTTAAAGTCAATAATATCACTATCAATATCACATCAGCATCGTTATCATATCAGCTATCAATATCACATCAGCATCGTTATCATATCAGCTATCAATATCATTTCAACAGAATTATATCAACAACAGTGTTATATTGTGTTATGTCATATCATCACAGCAGCTAGTTGACGCATTCAAGAGTTCCTCAGACATCAAAGATAAGTGGTTGGTTGGTAAGTGTGGTATATGGATTGTGTGATGAGGTTTTCTGAAAGATACGATTTCCTAGTACTCCCCAAAAGTTGGAATTTCCAGTATACGATTTAACAAGATCATCAACTCTGATTTGTTGCGATCGGATCACTGAAGTGTATATTTCTAATTCTTGTGTTCGATCCTTAAGTTTATGTTCGATGTCTGCAATTATAGCTGAATATTCGTTGGAATGTGATGACAGTGCAGTAATTTGTTTTTCCGATTCTTGGAGTTTAGATTGTAGAAGGCTAGATTCACTGGTTGAAGTATATAATTTATCACTATATTCACTGATATCATTTTTCAGAGATTTTATCAATTTTCGTTGTGTTTTCAGCTGAGTTTTGTCGTCCAATCGTTCAACTTCCAATTTTGCGATTTTTTCTTTATACATCTGGTTTCCTTGCCTCTGTCCATGGAGTTCGCTCTCAATCCGCTTATAATCGGAAACTGCATTTGTATATACGTCCATATTTACAGATTCTGCTTGGCTGTACTTGTTGTGTGTTTTTGGCTTTGTCTGTACATGCACAGATTTACAATTTACAGTCACAGATGATTGACAATCCTTGGTGCGATGCATTCCATTCGTTTCACATAATAAACAATAATATCTCTCTTGTATAAACGAAATACACTGTCTTTTACGATGGCCTCTTCCTTTACAAAACCAACAGGTCACGACTGATTAATCCATTTTGTGTTGCTAAAATTTAGTCAGTCAGCTATGAACTATTTGTGCCTACCCAACTTTACATCCTTGCCTACCCCACTTTAGATCCTTGCCTACCCCACTTTAGATCCTTGCCTACCCCACTCCTGGTACCAATGTAAATGGGCGATGGAAGGCCGTGGGTGGCGAATAAAATACAACAGAAACTATGATTTAAAATGTCTAAAAAAGTCTATTTCAAAATCTGATACATGTATCTCTGCAACAATTGACTAACTAACTGACTTACTGGGCAACACCCAAACTCATGAGTGAGTGAATGTGATCTATATATATAACATGAAGACATGAATGAAAAGTAAAAACAAACACAGCATGAAACAACATACAAAACTGGTTTAAACAATAGAACATATATACAAAAGTGACTTGCAAACAACATGGTTATAAATATCTGAAATACTGGATGTAAAAGTAGTTGATGCAAGAAGATTAAAAGGACCTGTTAAAATGAACAAGGAAACAAATGGGGATTGATCAATATGAAATTCAAAATATGAAATAGCCTGGTTACAATAAGGAAATTAAACCTCAACTATCCCAAATCACAGTCCAACTTGAAAAGAAAAAAATGTCCAATACCTCCTCCCCACCATTCAAACACCATCATCACAATCTGACACCGTGATATAAAGGGAAACCTCATTCATACTAATAACATAAGTCATTACAATGTATTCTGAAGAATGAATTTTAATTGATAACCAAAATTGATAAGATCAAAAATAGTTTTTTGACACCAGACGATTATAGTTTTCATACAGGATCATTCAGTCTTAAATGATGTGGGACGGATAAAATCCAATCTTGAAGTCCATAAGCGTATCAAAGGGTCATTATCCATACGCAACATCCATAAACGAAAAGTGATTGAACATACGAGAATGGGGAATGATCACGATAGCCAAGTTATAAAATTGATGAAATCTAGAAATATAATATGAAGTCTGGAGTCTAAAAAATAGTCACACACGCTTGGTTGTAATTTCAAGAATGCAAATTATTTGAAATACTGTGTTCATCAATTTGCTAAACTAAAAGTAATTGATTCATCAGTGAGTTGGCCTTACATTTCGAGAATGTAGTCTATGTACCCTCTATTCAACAAGATCTTATGTACCATGTTTCAAAATCTTATGTATCGGTATATTGATTCACAAGATAAAATAAATTCAACGATTGAAAATTGTCATAAACGATCAAATGCTAACAACTAGTATATTTAATCAATTTCTTTTCTTCTTTGTTACAGGCGTCCACCGGGCTACTAATATTTGGATTTACCTTCTTCAGTGGAGGAATGGCGGTTAAACTGTGGGGTGTTTACAAGTTTTTTGCTCAGGAAAAAACGGCAAGTTTGTTTATAGTTTCATAATCGAAACTGTGGGAACTGATTGATGTATTCCCTTTGGAAATGTAATTAAAAATCCATGATTATAAAAGAAGTTTATAAGAATAAAAATAGCATGGAAGTACAGGGTGGGCCAAAAAACGCCACTTTTTTTCAAAATGCTATGACTTTTTTAATTTTTGATGCAAAATCATAATTTGCATACCAAATGAAACTTGAGGTTGTTATCTAGCATGGAATATGAATTATACACTTTAACTTGAATAAAATATGTCACCAGCGTCTCACTTAAACATGTGGTGTGCCATGAGAAATAAGCATAATTTGCAATATGTTCCTGAACTGATACGGCCAGGTGATCGCCAAGCTAATAGCCCTAATGCAAACCCCAGTGAGTATAGGGTATGGGAAGGCCTCCAGGAGATTGTATGAAGGCATCCAATCTAGAAAATTGCTCAACTAAAGCTTGCAATTAAGACATGTTGAAAAAAACTTAGCTAACATTTCTTTGATACTGCTATATGAGCAAGGCAACTAAAACTAAAATATATCATCAATTAGGGTGCCGGGCCAATTGAACTCCTCTTTTAGATAAAATATAATCCAAGTTGAAGGACTTGTTACATTGTATTCTTACTAAGAACCCCTGGCACTATATAACTGCGAAATTTGGGGTATGTGGGTTGGAAAATAAAAAAGTTGTAGTGTCTTGAAAAAAAGTGGCGTTTTTTGGCCCACCCTGTATTGTTGGCCAAGTATTTTTTCTTAGGATGATATAATGCCGTCAGAAATGGTATCAATGTGTTATTCACATATTCTCACAATCTTATGTCGTTGTTATTTGGAAATACAATTAATCTTGTTTTCATGGTTTTAGAAAGTGATGCATGAAGCTTGGCTATTGTTTATCTTTTTCTGGCTAATTGTTGCTGATGTCGTATTGGTTTCGGTGTGGTTCGTCACTGATCCAATAATTGCAAGAGAAAGGGAAATAACATCGACTGTAAGTCAGTTTAACTTTATTATCTTTACATGTCAAACAAGAATACATTGATGATGAAGGGTGTGAGACACTGAAAAGAGTATAGTGTCCCCTATAACAGAAGAAAAAATGATGCTAGTTAGCAATTGAAGATGACAAATAAGTATAAGTATATGAAAAGGAAAATTCAAGGAATTATTATGATGATTTAGTTCGTGCAATTTTACCTATAATGCTAAGCTGTTTTGGCCTCCTCCGATTTGTCCCCGTTCCCTGATAGGGTTGGTGTGCATGCAAAAGATAAAACCAAAGATAAGAATTGTTGAAGATCAAAAGTGCCAGAAAATGCTCAATGGAATTGTGTGGTGGAATATTATTTGAATCAACCCCAAAAATACGTTAGCAACTTAGGGTTTTGGTTCTGAGTTAAAAGATGTCGAACATATTTTGATGATTTTGCTTTGGAGGAGTTTGCCTATGTTTGTGTTAAATTTTCAAATTTGTTTCGTGTGTCGCGGTCATGGTTGCTATAATTTGTGGTTGGATAAGAAGAATAACGTTCATTTATTAAGTCATTATTACTCTTTTGCAATTCATGTCCGATAAAGAGTGGTTTGTGGGATCTCTATATTTATTTGATTTGCTGAGCATGCGCACGGATTGCTTTTGAATTGAATGAAGCTTATTTAATAGAGTTTCAGGTACATGCATCCAACATTGTTATATCAGAATTAAAATTAGGATAAATAAGGGAGTAATAGAGGGTTTTGAGACTTGCAATATCCAGTAGATGTTTTACTTTATGTAATGTTCCAATAATTTTCGATAATCCATTTTAAAGCATATGAATATGATGTTTCGATAGTTGCATCAAGGAAATTGATTTTTTCAGTTTACAGTGTTATCATCCATGATGATTTTGTTTGAGATATCATAGTTGTGTCTATTATTTTGAGTTTTAAAGTTTATTAATTTAGTTGTTGAAATTATAATTTGTTAGCTTAAACCACTGCAGATTCACACGTTTGACTTCGCTGTGGAGGATTTTTCAAAGTGTTGAGACTTTTTTGACCTACTAAAATATTAGTATCGTCTGCATCTCGTACAGAATCATTTTTCGGAACAAAGATGTATATCATTCATGTAAATTATGAAAAGCAACGGTCCTAAAATTGAGTCTTGAGGAACTCTGCATGATATTGTTTGTATGTTAGGTGAATTAGTATTGTTATATGATACATATTGCTTACGGTTGAACCACAGAACTTTTGAACCATTGTGCGGAGATACCGCGTATACCATAGAAATCCATTTTTGTGATAAGATGTCATAATATCGTGTATCAAAAGCTTTAGACATGTCGAGGTATAGTCCAATACAATGAGTTTTAGATTCCAGAAAAACTCTTATTGTTTCAACAAAATTCAAAATGGCCAAGTGGATCGATTTTTCCTAAATCCATATTGCTGTTTATTATCTTATATTTTTGAGATATTCAGAAAGTCTCGTATATCAGTCTTTGATATTAGTCTGTTAATAGAAATGTGATCATGTTTCCCTTTTTAAAAAAATTGAATAACTTTAGCAACATTTAGAGTTTGGAAAAAGATCTTTGGTAAAAGATAAGTTGAAAATGTGAGTGAGAGGGGAATGAACTGCGTTTCATCACATGTTTTTATGAGTTTGTGTCATATGTCGTCATCACCTGATGCACCTGACCTGATCCTTCAACTCCCTAATAAGCTTAAAAGTTCTAAATGAGTTACAGGTGATAAACACAAAGAGTTAACATTTCTTAATTCACTCATAAGTTCAGCGGGCGATTTATCAGCATTTCTTTTTTAGCCAAGTCTTTCAGAATCTTTTCAAACGTGTTTAAATTTTTTCTTATATAATTTGTATTCTTTGAGCTAACAGGAAGAGGTGGGATCTTTTAAATATTGTTTGTAAACCAGTCATCAAAAAATTCTGAAAATTTTACACATTGTCAATTTAATGGTCATCTTTTGAATAGTAACTATATAATTTGAAAAGAATATATATACTTTTCTATATATTGTTTTAGAAAACACATTGGACACTTCTTTTGTTCTTGGTATCATATGTTCGGAATGAAATGAAACATCTATCCGAACCTCATTGAAACAAAACGACACAAACACGTTGTGTTTATGTCTCTCAATATTGTAATTACACAAAGGAAAGTTTGGTTGATTCAAAAAAAGTATCTTGTTAATGAAATTAAAGGTTTGTCTTAGTTTTTATGGTTTATGATAATGGTAAAAAGGAACAAAAAACAATTGCACTAAAAACAAAAAAATGTTAACAAAAACAGTTATATAAAATACATATTAATTATTTTCGCATTAAATTGTTGTCAATCAGTTTTTTCAAAGAATGTTTTCAGGAATTGGTTTAAGAGAATAAGTTGTTGAATTCAGTTCTCCATATCGATACCAATCCTTTACTCTAGATTGAAACTGAATCATTATCTGACCGTCCTTTCACTTACCTTAGTTTGACGACGACACAGCAGTCAGAACAATAACGGTAATGATCACTTGTGAATCAGCGAACCAGACATACTTCCTCATCACCACACTGTGTTACAAGGCAATTGTGTTACTGATGGGTGGTTTCATTGTCTGGCCTGCTCTGTAAGTAACTATGTAGTCATGCAAAGGATCAAAATACCATTAAATTCAACGTTGACAGGTATAAACAAGTCACAATACAATTTTATGATTTTTCTGAAGTATAAAATGTCCGAAGTAAAACTTGGCAATTTGTTCCTAAATTTTTAATCGCAATTTTTGTTATCCCATGGAACAAGACATTCGTATGTATGGTCGATAATTCAAACATCGGTTGGTAGATTTGATTCCATGGCATAGTATCGCTGCTCAAGACATTATTTTCCAATATGACCGTCTAGTTAAAATGGCCACTATTTCAGGTTTGGTCCCAAAAGCCTAATGGATGACAGCTAAAATATCTACTCGAGCTCGGACATCATTTATGCCTATCGATGAAGATGCTTTCTTTATTTTCAGGTTCATGTCTGTGAAGAAAGGCTTCGTTCATTTCTCTGAGTTTGTTATCGCTGTGTTCACGAGTTGGTTGGTCAGCATTGTTCTGGTTGTTATATCGTTTTTGATCCCGACTGAACCGAATGCTTTGTTCATCATTTATGGATGTCTGATATTATTCACAACGATTCTGACTACTTTACTGATTTCCATTCCAAAGGTAATTTCAATTGTCTGACCTAAAGAATGATGGGCATATTATTTGATTCAGTTTAAACTTGTGTGAGGATGGAAATCGAGCTGTATGTTCATATGTTTAAAAGCATACATTTATGTTTTGTTTAGGCCACTGTGATAGCAAGAGGGGGTGACCGACTCTCCCAGAAGTTATTTTCACCGATCGGTGCAGCATTTGGTTTCCTTCAAACTGTTGCTAGTGAAGGACAGATGCCAGGATTGGGTGCTGCTCAATCCTCACAAATACCCGGAGTTGCTCTTGCTGCCGGAAAAATCGAAAGAAATGGATACAAAACTTCCTTGTACAAGGAATATCAGCACCATGGAAAGATTGGATCTGCTTTATCTAACCACGATGCAGGTGGAGATGGAGATCTTAATAGTTACTACTATGATAATAAAAAGGCATAATATCTTAATAAAGACTTGATAATATAATACGATTAAGGCTAATGAAGAGAATTATTAAATGAGACATATATCTTAGCAAGTTATCATAAAATCACATATCTGAATGTTTTCTATGTAAGAAATATTGGAAAGCTGGCGTGCATTTGGACCACAAAGTGACAATGAGTTTTCACCAACAATCCTGTAGAATGAAGTATTTGTTTTATTATTCACTGTTATATTTCTCACTCTCTGATTGGGCTAAATAGAGATGTTCATTGAATGAGGGGTCGAATTAATCATTGAATATAATGAATATTATTGCTGTAAATAAACTATGCATCACTATGTTATCGTGAACTACCATGTACCATTATAAAGGCAACAAAAAAGTTCTAAAAAGCATGGATTATATAGCAAACTATCCTACATGAAACTATTAGACTCGGTCAACTTCACTGGTACTCACCTAGTTACGCTGACGATACGCTTCGTTTTCGGTAAGATATTTTTATTTCTCAATTCTACACCACTTATAAGTCAAGTTGTGGACAATAATTTGGCTCAAAGTTAAGGAAGTCTAGTTTGAGAATATGCAGGCGGTTCTATGTTTGGTGTATTAATAAAGACGCAATCCACATATTTAGTCCCTCGCTTTTGTTAGGTTGACGATCTTCATGAATATTGCCAATGTGACAAATTATTAAGCCAAATTATTGTCCAAAACAAACTTGAATTATAAGTGGTGAACAATCGAGAAATAAAAATGACTTACCGAATACAGACCCTGGAAGTTCTTCCATCTTGTTACGATGACGTATCGTCAGCGTAACTAGGCGAGTACCAGCGAACGTTGATAGGGAATGGAATGTTTTCAAAGTTATTAAAGAGAGAATCAGATCTAGCGAGCAGCATAACAAAAAATTGTTTCAATCTAAGAGTATTTCAGGCTTATGTCATTCCTTTTCATGCCTATTTTCTGAAAATCCCCATAGTGTACACTTTTTCAGGAAATCCATTATAACTTCACCAATTTATAGTTCATATCGTGAATCCTTTGGGAGATATTGTATTTGAGATCATAAGGAATAGATTGGTAGGTCAATTGTTCATGTTACTTAGAAACTTGTCAGCCCCATAGATGTGATTCTGCCTTAAAGTACAGATTATTTTTTATGTTCAATTCAAAGAAAGAACAAATATGTATTTTGAGCACTATGTATTCTTTGTTGCAAGGCATTGGGATTTTAAAAAAAGGTTTAATTTTACTACGTCTACGGAGCACAATGGATATCTTGAGTACCAATTGAGAGTATTCGTGTAGCCATAAAGACTTTTATATGTAAGTTATATATTAAATGAATATTACATTTATATGAATATTACATATTATATTTATAAGGTCATTATGAACACTCCTCGTAAAACGAAATACCAAATAAAAATCTTTTGATTTAAAACTTTTCAAATCATCATCTTCCCTCAGTATTGAAGTGTGGGAATCGCATGTTTCAGAATTTGACATATTGAACTCTGAAGTCTCAATGAATTATCTCCTAACATATCTCGTTTCAAAAAATATGTTCTTTAAAGATATGTTGGGATTTACCCTTAAATGTATGTTAACTCTTGATTTGGATTTCATTAAACAAATGTTGTATCAAAATGTATGATTTTGCCTTCAGATTTCAGGATATCTATTCAGTAAAAGATTCACCGAAAACTATTTTAATACAGGGTGATCACTAAGTTCTGGGAATTTATCTGTCATTTCATTATGTTTCAACCAATTTACTTGAAATTTTCAAGGTAAATGTGGAAAGGGATTTTGGGTCGGATAAAACAGTTTCATTGTCATCTGATGTCACAATGGATAATTATTATTACTATAGCAACATGACAAATGACGTACATTAGCGGGTCGAGTAAAATAAACCTCTGTATTGTGATATACGAGTGTACTTTGCTCTATTTTCTTATCATTGGTCAGACTCTCAAAGTCACAATCATGACTCAAAATAGCGGGGAGTTATCCTCCATTATGGCTATGCTCCTTTCCACTACTCAAACTGCTCATACTACTCTTGAAGAATTAGGGTTCACACAAGTTGTTACTGCCCCATATTCACCATACAATATTCACCAGTACTCACCAATATTCACTATTTTGGGGTGCAAAAGCATCATATGAGAGGTCATAAGTTTGAGTCCGATAAGGGACTGATTTCAACGGCTTGAGCAAATCTTCAAGGGATACCAAAGGGAGGTTTGGAACACGTTTTTATGGACTAGGTTTGTCAACAACGCATGTGCATCCAGGCTAATGGAAATAATTATAAATGAAATGATCCTCTCAGTAATTAAGAATACTTCTGAAAAAATGATTTCAAGGGTACTGTTCAGGCCCGTAGCCAGGGGGGGCTCGGGGGGTTCGTGCGATATTTCGAGGTAGAAGGTAACATTTTGTGACATACATGTATCATTGCAAAGAGGAGAGACGTGGCTTTATGGTACATTGAATGAAATTGATGTAGTCATCACTAGTCGCTCGAACCCATCGACCCCCCCCCCCCTGGCTGCGGGCCTGATGGGGGTTCTTAAACAGGAGAAAAACGCTTAACTAAGGCCTTTTTTGGTTTTTTGGTTAGCTCTATTATACAAAACAGTAGAACGATACGTTATGAAATTTCCACGTATATTGTTGTACTTGATATGTACCTTGCATTGCATGGATTATCTTGAGCTATATTTTGTTCATTTGTGGAATGGACTAAACTAATCTTAAACGGCGTACTATTATATTTATTTAATTGATGAACATGATGTGTAAAAATTTGTAAACGGCAAGTATGGACTTTAATTGTATGAAATTCCAGATGATTGAATAAACAAGAACTATGCTGGAATCCATAATTCTCTGGTGCTATTTCGAATTGTTAAAATTACAGGGTGTCCCGAAAGTATTGGCTCCCCTCCCCCTAGGCAGGCATATTCCAATGTCTCCATGGTGTGTCATATATCATTTTAAACTTTATTCAAAGTTACATTGATCTTCAAAACTTATCTTATTAAAAATCCGCTCTTAGAATTGTTCTTAATTTTTTAATATATTTTTTTTCAATAAACAGACTTGGGTAGGGCTCGCATTTTTCGGATAAAAGCACAACGTTTGTTTAAATCATACAGTGGATGAATGGATAACATTAACATCGCGTAAACCAATTACATTCCACAATTTTAGAGATTAATTACGATTTATATTTCATATTGCTTTATTAATTAAGAGATTCACATTCGAAACGGGTATAAGCGATGATAATATGTCATTTTTTCATGCAAACACTAGACATATCCAAATTAAATCGGCTCTATTTTAAAATGGAATTAAAAATGAGCGAAAATAAAGACATCATTATACAGCCTGAATAAAAATTTATTTCATTATTATTTGAAGTCGCCAAATCAATTTTTGAAATTTGACCAAATTACCGTAAGATAGTGGCTGTTCACTCCTTAAGGCGAGAATCAGAAATAAAACGTCAATTTTTGAATTCCTGTTACCAATCCTGGTATACTATACATGTAAGGAAGTAGAAGTTTCCGAGAAACTTAAGTCAAGTCCGTGATCTGTTTTTTATTGGTCTTTCCGATTGAAGATATGGTGTCCGGAAAGCAGGTCAACAATAGAGTTCTCAAAATTCAACGTGTGGGGTATCGAATGATGGAAAATTACCTCATGATTGCGAAACTGAAATCGAAATTGAGACCCAACTGCATTTTGAAATGGAATTTGCTCTAGTCAGTATCCAAAAATCACCTGTAAATGTAAGGCGATGCCATAATGAATTGGCTTATAAACTTGGCAATAAACCGAGACACTCTTATCTAATTTTTTCGAAATTGACCCAAACAATTTGTTCCAGTCACATCCCATCGTTTCAAAAGTATTTACGCTCACTTAGATGTCAAGCAAGGAGGATTGGCTCCCAGGTGCGCAACAATGAATATGTCAGAATGTCGTTGTTTTTTTTACATTATATCTGCCTATAAATTCACGATTCGAACCAATTATATTTTAATCACTCCCTGTGTGTTTTGGAATTTTTTGTTGGGAAGAAAATTCGCGATTGAAATTCTGCAGTGAATAAGATGGCGGCTGTTTGAATTCGAATTTTTTTATCACGACAACGCCAAATATGGCAGAATATCAAGTTGGATCCCTGGGAGTCAATCCTCCTTGAATGTTAAGTGTAACCAAATATTTAACGTCATTGCTCCTCTACCCACCTATAGCATTTAGCCATCTATTTCCATACCGTGCCGTACTTCGTTCAGCACTACATAATGGAACTCAACACGTGCATCATTCGCTCTACACTTCATGTTCTAATCATTTGCGTTTTAACCTCACAAGGAATTGCAGACAATACAACATCACCAACAATAACAACAACAAGTGTTGTCAAGGATGTGCCTGCTGTGGACGATAGAGAAGTCTTGTTGATTGGAAATGTTGTTGTTAATTACACCGACTGGCTAGATGACGGGTGCAGATTTGCACAAAAAGCTGTCGAAGATGTTAACAGTTACAAGGAAATGTTTCCATTGTTTCAGTTGAAATTAGACCAATGTGTATCAGATGTGAGTACGTGTTAGATGAAAATGACAATGAAAATGACTAGCAATTGGGAATTTATACCGTATAATATTTAGCTGTTACGTAGAAAGGGGAAATTATCAGAAATGATAGGCCTACATATTAAATAAATCGCGACGTTTTATTTCAGGACAACAATGTTGCTGGAATTACCAGCAACTTATTCAACTATATCTGCGAAGGGATAAATACTCCGTTAATGTTCCTTCCTTTCACTGGCCAGGATTCGACAGAACCATTGTGTGGCAAATGGGGATGTATAACGGTAGACCATCTTTATTTTTATGTTAATATAATTGACGAAAATAAAACCAAGTATTTGTTCCTTTTAATATTACCAATAGAGAAAATATTTGGATAAACTAGATATAGGCCTTAAATGCCAAGTTCAATTGTTTACTGAATATATCGAACTTGTAAGATTTCAGCTCATTGTATCTTGAAAGTATATTCTTATTATATTATATAATATTATATAATAATAAAAACGAAGCCTGTGACTCAAGAAATCACAGAACACGTAAAATATTTTACCATACCGCGCACCTATTATTTTTAGCGATTTATTGGTAAACTATTTCATGAAAAATAAATATTGTAGGTTTTTTAATGTTCTAGAAGAAATCACCCCTCCCCCATGCAGTCACTCATTTTGTCCGATTACCGACTGTGAAAACACGATCCTGCCAATTCCCCATGGCCAATCAATGAAAGCTTCGTTACGAATCGTCATATATACTTTAGGTGGAATTATTGCAGGAATAAATCTAGTTAGATTGAACAATTTTAGTTTAAAACATTAGTGACATTGAGTAATAATATTGGAGGAGTATTCAACAATACGAGTAAATCCATTGAGTTCAACGTTTTTCAAAATGTATTCGGTTGATGTCACAATGACTGTTAAACCTGGTAGATGCTTTCATTTTCTTTGCTTTCGTTGCCAAAATACAGTTCACTTAGATCATTCAAGTTCTCTATCAAAATAGTGTGCTGTACTACTGAGATTGCCAAATTGTCGAGGATCATACAATGTACCATTGCTTTGGACTTCTCTTAATAATAACTTCAAATTCCATTTCAATGTATGTATTACCTTTATTTTCTCCATAAATGAAGATTACAAACAGATTTATTTATAAACTCACGATCACATAAGTTGAACATATAAAATACATAATCAAAAATTATAAACCTCATGAACGCCAATTGTGTACAACCTTAAAGTATTCATATGTGCACTATTGCGATTTACTTTGAACGTTTTCATTCTGTTACTTCTATTAACATATCTAACATGCGATCTATTTTTAACAGAACACAGTAAGGTAAACTGTTCCCAAGTAACTTGCTCACAGTTGTTTAGCATGTCTGTCCTACTGCCAAGTAATGTTTCGAGAAAAATCTCTTGATCACAACTAAAAATTCAGTCACACTGAGTGTGTTTATGATGCCTTCGTACAGATTATCCCTCTCCCTCCCTCAGATCGTACAAATGGGATGGAGGGGGGATTAGGCGATTTCTGCAAGAAAACACAACAAATTTGGAAGATTTATTTTTTCAAGAGAAAATTTACAACTGAATTGTCAGGTGCAGTGCATGGCAAAATATGTTAGGTCATCTAGTATTTTTTTAACTGGTACTCTTCTATGATATGAGATCTATATAAATATGAAAGGCGCATCATCACAAACGTGCAAACGTCAATGTTTTTGCTATAAATCGGGCAACAATGGTCTACACGACCTATAATAAATAGGTATAAGGGACGTTATTATCACAATACTAATGACATTCCTCACTTTTTAAAGTTAGTTGCCATGCGTTTAGAAAAAAAATAATCGAAACAAATTAATTTGGGATGGAGGGGGGATCGGATGGAGGGGGGATAACGTGTATATAAGACATGATAAGACATGGTACTTGAATTTTGTCACCTTCAGGTTCCAATATAAATAATGTTAAAAGTTGCCCCAGTTTCCATGTATAAAATTGGAAATATACTCCAAGTCTCCGCAGTGTATCTATTGTAAGAATCAGTGGAGCATAGCGAGTGACGCCAGCTTTCTTCTTGCTTTAAATATACTTGACCATTAACAATTCTGTTCCAATATTAGGCTTTGAAAGGGTAACACATGTGTTAATATATTCATCAAATACATTATACAATATGGGATATATATCTTTAAGTTTAAAAATGTCATGTAAGAATCCCATTCTTAATGAGTTTCTGATAATCATGCTAGAAATTCTAGTAAGTAGGATTTGTTTTTGAATACTGTGTTGTTCCGCTCTTAGTAATGAACCGAGAAAAGGGAACTTCCATTTTAATAATATAATTTTCAACAGAGAGTGGACCTAGTGTAGTATTAAGAACAATAGAACTTGGGGTCCTAATGTCAAATCCCTGTATTCTTTTGGCAGTTTGGTTTTGGTTCTTTTGGTTTCGTTGTACCAGTTCCATGTTGTGAAATTCAGTTTGTGTAATGTTATACCATAATTCACATCCATTCGATTCGGATTTATTGATTAATTTTATTACATCGTTAGCGAATATAAAGGCATTTGGACGTTATCGTCTGTTAAAGCAACTTTATATGTCTCTGGTTAAAGGGATTCCAAGTTTTTCTTCTCCTATAATCAACTTAATTTATCAGTCATCACAAGTGAGAATGATAATAATGTTGAAGAATGAGAGCTCTGGACAGTTAAGCCTGCTTCCCTTGAACGATTCACCGAAGTTTAAACTTTAAAAATTACTTTATTCATTACACCATCATATAGGGCATAGATGGCGCGGCAAGTTAAAGACGCTCAATTTTGCCATGGACATCTTTCTTCCATAATCATTTGATCATTAATTCCACGTGCATGATTTGAAGGACTGATCTAATAGGACAACATACTGCAGGTAGAAGACTCAAAGTAAGTGTTTCATTGAACATTGCTCCATTTTCAGTTCGGGATGGGTGATAGCATACAGTACGCTGCAATGAACAAATACCACTCCAAAGTACATGCTGCAGCTTCAGACTGCGTCCTTGCCTTCGATGTAATCATAGAACGTTTTAAATGGGAGAAGATAGGACTGCTGGTTTTCAATATCGAACGGTCGAAAGCGGTACGTATGAAAAATTATGATAAAATCGCCGTGTACAACATATGTGAATGTACCCATTGGTTTCATCCTCTTGTGATTGAATGGTCGAGGAGTCGTGGTACGCAGCGTCGCTGATGGCTTATTGCTTCTCCTTTCAAGGATTATGTTTTGGGTCAAGTTTTAAATTTTGCCACAATGTGGCCCGCCCACGACCACTTTATATGCTTACCATTAAATGTTTGATTTACAATTGTTAAAATCGTTCCCCTATGCAAGGACCCGTCTTATACCTACTTATTGACTTTAAAAGTTGAGATATTTTTCATTTAGCTTCAATTTTATTGGTGTTATTCCTCAATAGATGGCTAGTCTGTTGAGACAAGAGCTTGAGGCGCGGGGTGTAGAAGTCGGAGCCGAAGTGATATTTAATGTTGATGGTTCATCGCCTGATGTCATTTGGGAATCACTTAAGGTAATTGATATTGATTTGATAAAGAATGGACTTGTAGTCATGGGTGTACTAGATATTTTTAATGTTTGTGTACTAGATATTTTTAATGTCTGTTTTTTATATAAGTATTCGCTGTGTCAATAGTTAGGAATATAACGATTAATTGTAGAATTGGTTGCAATGTCTTTGGAAGTAATTTGAGATAATGCTGAAATTAATTTGAAGCTTATACAGCAAGTCCAGTTGGCAAAACGTTGTCATGACAGTGTATACATTATGCAATAACTTGAAACTGGCCATCATACTCATACTATGTTCAACGATGTTGTGGCATGTTAATAGATGGACGTGTCCACAGTGAAATGTATGTCTTAATTTTCAGGACATTCGGATCTTTGTTACTTTCGCTCCTCATCTGGGTGCAAACATCAATCCTAGGTTTCCTCTTCAGTATCTGCTGTGTAAGGTAATATACGCATTTTGGCATACGTATGATATTCATAATAAACGTTTGACATAAAACGAGCCTCTAAGCAACACTCATACAGATATACAGTCTTGAAAGGAAGTTACTAAGGTTTTTTTTACCAGCTTTGTACCACTTTAACGAAACTGTCGCAGAATAAAATTTACAATTGATATTAATGACGTCTTTGAAAAACTTTTTCGAATGCATTTTTTAAAATTATAGTTTTAACCCCAAAAGTTGCTGATGATAGCCAGTGGCAATTTCAGGAACGCAAGAAAAAATAATAGAAAAAATGCTCATTGTTTTGTTCCAAAACTTATCTTAAGGCAAATGGAATTTTTAGAGTTCATAAGTTTTGAAAATAAATGACCGAAAATTAATTTGAAACAAATTCACAAAACCTCTTTGTTACTCTTATCAATATAAACGACGAGCTGAGATGTCCAAACATGGTAGTTCGTCAGTATATGTGTCCTAATGACGATTTGAAAGCCTTTGCAGTTGACGTGCTTTTATGGAAAGGTACAAGTGAAGTAATTTACAATTCATCATCTTTTAGTTGTACAAGCGTGGATACTATGGAAAACACCACGTTATTCTCTCTTACTTCCCAACCGTTCAAGAACAATGGAATACTTTTGACGAGGCAGATTTCGAATGTACAAAATCCCAAATGTTTGAGGTTCTTGAAGGTGCCTTGGGTTGTTCTCTATCCGTATCGACCCTTCTGGGAAAATACGACAACGAGCGGCACTTCAAAACAAACCAGGTTATTACATTTTAACTCCGAATTAACTTATTTAGCATTTGAATAAGTATGATCCCAATGTGATAAATGGGTGCAGTTCGGGGGACTTTGTATCTCCAGTTCTGATATATATTGAATATAGGTAGTTGCTTAAACAAACTGCAGCTTTTCCATGAAGTCTTGGTAATTCCATACTCGTGGGAAAAGTACTACTTTTTTAATGAAGAATGGAATATTTCTAATAGTCTTCAATTTGAGAGATATTTTAGACGTCTTTTGTATAAATATCTTAAAATTAAGGTCTTTTCTGCCTAAAACATGCATAAAATGAACTGGGAAAATGTGTAGTTTCAGTTACAACTAATCACTTTAGATGAACTGGCGCGTAGATTATTGTCAAGATTATTGTATTCTCTTTTAGACATATACTGACTTGAAACCTATTGTCCGTCCAAAAAACACTTTAGAAATGAGACGCTACTTCCAGCCACTTTTGTATGATACCATTTGGGCAATCGCACTTGGAATTAATGCAACCATACACGAGTATGGAGTCAATGAAGTTAAGAATTATAAATTCAATGAAAACAGCACCAAACCCTTACTCGATGCATTGTATGGTAATCTCCTAGATGTGGACTTTCAAGGAATATCGGTGAGAATGTAGTAAATGATTCATTATATGTAAATGCGTTTTTCTTTTTTCTTGCGTTCTTTACTTCTTTGCAAGTGTATGGATGTGAGGTTTTAATGCAACGTGATTTAAATATGAGCCTCATGTAGCACAACATTACCAATTTTTATCAATCAATCACGTTTATATATTTTTACATTGTTATTTAGGGTCATTTCTATTATAACAATACTCGGGGCTTCAGACAATTCAAGACCTATATTGGACTTATATCTTGTAAGTACATGTCTATATTTTGGTTTCGAAGAGTACTACTTTTATACTAATAAGAGTACAACTTGTATTACCTTTTTATAAGCCAAGTAGTAGGCAAGGACAAGGGCGGGGAAACACCATTTCCGAATTACAGTATATTGGATGAAATGAATACTTTCTTTGTGGACAAGCTTCATTTTTATCCCAATAGCTGATATAGAGAGGATATCCTATGATTTATGAGTGATATGATTTTTATCCACGAATGGATATGATATCTGCACGAGGGAGCGTAGCGAGAGAGTGCAGATATCAATAACCATGCCATGAGTGGATTAAAATCATATCACGAGTAAATCATAGGATGTTCTTTTTATTCCATAGTTAAAGTCATCATCAGAATCGTCGGAAATTAAGTCATTTAATTCGAATTTTCCAAACGATCCGGCGATGTTGACACTTAGCCTCGTTTTTCACATGTTATCCTATGAATATCATGCTAACTATGGAATAAATAAGAATATAAACATCGTGACATTCTTTTGTAGATTTTGAGATTTTAAACTATCCATCAGATCAAGGCCCCAGTGTCCGCGGTTATACGGAGTGTCCATCAATGCAATTGTAAAGAGATATTATGGAAACCATGTACCATTGCCTGTATCCTTTTTTTCAGCTGAAGGCGAATTGTCGACAAGCATTGGTTATGTCGAAGTAGATAAGAGAAAGGTAGTGATAACTCAGCCTGATGACGTTATATGGGAGTCAAAAGGTGTTTAATATACAGATGTGTAGGGTACTTATTAAGATCATAACTGTAGTTTTCTTCATAAATGACGAACAAAGTGAATCTCTATAAATAGAAGGGAGTGGTAAAATCATTTTATTTCTCGAGCACAACTGTTTTTGTCCAATTTATTTTAAAGGTGCAGTAGCCGGAAATCGGGAATAATTCCTTAGAAAAACTCCAAAATAAATCGTTGGTGCCTCAAACCTCCCCCGAGGAATGGCTATTACCTGAACTTACTTTTGTCAAAATACCGGAGCCTGGAAAAAATCACTCAACTATATATCGACGAAAGAAGTTTCAGATTCGTTCGACTGCGAGAGCAAAATTGAAGCTGAGCTAAACGGGTTTCGTTTGTCGTAAAACCTCCTTTCACTACGCCATCTGGCGTGTGAATCATTGTTTTCGTGTCATATGATTCGTTTTTTGCGTCACCTATCGTAAATTAATCGTTAAAACGATTTAAAAATTTTCGCTCCAAGAAGAAAATTTGCACAAAAATTGTCACTCTATTGTCTTCTTGAGGAGACACATCGGAACTTGGGATTCATAGCCATTCAAACAGGCCACAAAATGTATGTTTATTCTATCCAGTGGAGACTCTTCGGACTAAGAGCGTATTCAACGATCATATTTGTAATCAACCAATGTACACTCCCCTCCATAAGTTTGGCAACCGGGGTCGTGAATTCGTAAGATGCCAGATTTTATCCGAATCAATTTTATCAATAAGATAATTATTTGGATTATTGATTCGGATAAATATTTGATGAATTACTATCTAATGAAAAATTCGGGTTGCCAGACTCATAGAGGGGAGTGTAATACACCCCAATACGCCCCAATCATACACTCAGTGTATGATTGGGGCGTGATAGTACCATTTTGACGAACATATGGTAAACTAATCTTATTTTTGGGAAAATCTCAAAATTATATCATTTCACAGGCGGAGCTGCTCCACTCGACCAGGAAATCAAACAATATGAACGCAAGCGTATTAATAGCACTGCCATTATTGTGCTTTCTGTCATCGCAGCCATTGGTATACTCTTGGCGTCTATCTACATCGTATACGCAATTTATCATCGCAACCATGTGTAAGTAACATAAGAGTACAGTATAGTGGAGTGACTTTTAAATATCAACAGCCATCATTAAATGATTTGATCATATATTTATATTACATATAGTGTTTTTTAGGGTGGGCCAATACTATCAATTTTAGTCGTGTTGGTTGCAGGGCGTTCAATATTTTTGATAATTTTGCTACCATCTGTTCTTCCTATTTATTCGTCAGATTTTATATTACCATTAATAAAATGTCTCCGATTTGAATCTATGTGCGATATTTATCACAGTGTGTCTTGTTACCTTGGCTGTTGTGCCTGCATCTGGAAATATTTATTTAAATGAATGGACAATGTGCACGTATTTTCAGGATCATCAAGGACGAATGGCCGATAATGACATGCGTAATTATTGTTGGATGTATCATATTGGACCTTTACGTTTTGATTCACATTGCTGACATTCAGACCGGAGTTCATCCAGAGCCCCTACACGGGGATATATGTATGGTAATGCCTAGGTCACATTTGCTCCGATTCATCGGCCGGCGCCTGGCCGATTGAGTTTTTTGTTCAAAATTTTAGGTCAGATGTGAACTCCTGAGAACTTGTACATGTTTGGTCAATATGAAGGAATTTGAAATCAGTTTTGAACACAATACTGCAATCGGCCGGGTGCCGGTCGATGAATCACGGCCCGAATCACGAGATTATGTCACTTGCGAAAGAGGCATACAATTAAATGCAGCTATACAGGAGACCGTTTCTCGAAAGTTTCATTATTAACGAATCGTTAATTCAATTGTTAATAACGATTTTTACATTTCTCGAAAGTTAACGATTCGCGATGACGTCATGATTTTTAACGATCCGTTATCCATGATTGATTTTAGGAGTACGAATGGGGGTCTCGTTATTCCATTGACGATGCGGTGTAGAAACGAATCCCCGATTCGCTATTAACGATTCGTTAATAACGATACGCCTCCAGAATCCGTATTTTATAAACAGGCCTCATTTGCCATTGAAACGGATCTCTCAATGTTCGCTTGTGTTTTATTAGTATTCTCTGAAAGTTTGGATCGAGTATTTCCGTAGTTTTGAAATGATGATGTTGAACTGATGTTAAACTGAAATAAACGCCATTTCAACGATTCCAAATATTACTTTGCGCATGCGCGGCACTGAGAAAGCATGTGCTCATGATTGTTCACGTGATCACAGTCCTGCAATTTGATTGGAGATCGTATAATGGGGAATCCCCGAATACGATAGACTATGAAAGAATTATGGGAGCTACTCACTTCTTCCGAGGATCGCTTGAATATTCCAGAAAATATAAATCATAAGAACTTTGTCTTCTTTGTTTTAGGCGTCCACGGGACTACTAATATTTGGATTTACCTTCTTCAGTGGAGGAATGGCGGTTAAACTGTGGGGTGTTTACAAATTTTTTGCCCAGGAAAAAACGGCAAGTTTGTTTATGATTTGATATTCGAGATAGCACACGTTAGAACATTCGAGAATCCCAAACACTTCCATAAACAGAATCGGTTCCTCAAATGAGATGAATAAGAATGGTTAACATACATTCAAATGAAAATACATAGTAGTGTCGTGATGTGTCATGATATATTCTAAGCTGAGACTAACTTAACATAGAATATATTTTATGTTAGTCTCAGATTCTAAGCAATGATTTTACACTGATATTAGTGCAGTTATTTTAAGTAATTATAACTATTATTAGGAACAGATGATTTGGAAACTCTACCGGTGCATGGAAAACTATTCCTCAATCGCAATGTGATAAGAGAGATCAGTCTAGCTTGAGCGTTTTAATGTCTTAGGACTCAGATTATATTTTCTTCATTCATTCACAGAAATCTTATGTCGTTGTTAATTAATCTTGTTTTCATGGTCTTTAGAAAGTGATACGAGAAACATGGCTGATGTTCATCTTTTTCTGGCTTATTGTTGCTGATGTCATATTGGTTTCGGTGTGGTTCGTCACGGATCCAATGATTCCAAGAGAAAAGGAAATTGCCTCGACGGTAAGTAGGCCTACTACCTAAAAATGATTTTATTCCAAGGAACTATTACATATAGAAACATTTTATCACTATTTACCTTTCCCATCCTTGCTGTGTTGAAGTCATACGAATGAATGATTGAAAAACGCATCGTGGATAACGCATTTAAAGGGACATTTGATTCTTCTAAAATTTACTATAGATTGAAACTGAATCATTATCTGATCGTTAACTTTCCTCAGTTTGATGACGACACGGGAGTCAGAACAATAATGGTAATGATCACTTGTGAATCAACGTACCAGACATACTTCCTCATCGCCACACTGTGTTACAAGGCAATTGTGTTACTGATGGGTGGATTCATCGTATGGCCTGCTCTGTAAGTAATGTCATTAAGAAATCAGTAAAGATCACAGCCTGATTTTTGACCTGTTCATTTTCTTCAAGATATCATTTTTAATTTAGGCTGGTATAATATTTTTCTAATTTTTGTTTGAAATGACAGAATGGATACAAATATCCGAAGTAAAACTTATAATTTTGTTATGCTATCGAGAAAGAGAAAGCTTGTGTTCATTCTTTTGCATGATAATTCAAACAACGGTTGGCAGATTTGTGGCATAGTATCCCTGTTCTAGAAAGTGTTTCCGTTGTTGCCCAATGGATGTGGAGAAAGTGCCTTTACCCGAGTGCAGGCATCATATGCACTTATGAATAAAGATACGTTCTGTATTTTCAGGTTCATGTCTGTGAAGAAAGGCTTCGTTCATTTCTCTGAGTTTGTTATCGCCGTCTTCACGAGTTTGTTGGTCAGCATTATTCTTGTTGTTGTATCGTTTTTGATCCCAACTGAAACGTATGCTTTGTTCATCATTTATGGATGTCTGATTTTATTCACAACGATACTGACTACATTGCTGATTTTCATTCCAAAGGTAATTATCACAACGAACGAAGTTCGGTAAGGATATAGTGAAGCCCTCCGTCCGTCCGTCCGTCCGTCCGTCCGTCCGGAAAATAACTCGAATATAGTAGACGGATTTGCTTCATATTTTGTGGAAATATGTATATGGTCAATAGTTTTGCGCAAAGATGGCCGCCGCGTAAGAAATGGTGGGACTATTTTGTGAAAAACTTTATACATTACAAACTATCTCTTTCACATATTTTCGATGTATTTCAGACTCCCCGGGGCCGTGTATGGGGGGGGGGGGGGTCGGGTAAACAGGAAATTTTGTTAATTTTCAGATCGTTCTGAAGTATAGCTTTACTCAAATGAAAGGCACTTTAGAGTAGAATGCAAATTATATATCAGTTTTCTGATTCAGGCCTTTGTAAAATTCAAAATGGCCGCGTAATGTGGGATTTTGCAATGATTTTCTGATCTTTTCAAAGTATGGCTATATTGTACTCAAATTGAAGGAATTTTAGAGTTTATCACAATTATGCCGCTGCTTCTCTGATTCGTCCCTCAGGAAATTCAAAATGGCTGCTTAGGGGAAGAATTCGCTATTACTTAGAGATCTCTTCAAAGCATGGTTACATTATACTATATAAAGAGTTGCCGATTTCTAGTTTCAACTTTCTGACATAAAGCATGATGAACATCTTATTTCATTCGGGGTTCATTTAAACTGGTGTGAGTATGAACAAAAAAAATAATGCTACAGCTGTACTATATTCACATGTTTAGTGCATACATTAATACTATGTTTAGGCCACTGTGATAGCAAGAGGGGGTGACCGACTTTCTCAGAAGTTATTTTCACCAATCGGTGCAGCATTTGGTTTCCTCGAGACGGTTGCTGGAGAAGGGCAGATGCCAGGATTGGGTGGTTCTAAGTCGATGGAAATGCCAAGTGTTGCTCTTGCTGCTGGGCAGATCGAATAAAATTGAAACAGTATTTCCTTATATACAGGGCTAATTACAATCCTTGATCGGAATGCATGGACATGTTCCTTATAACGATGCAGGTGGCTAAGATATGTTGGTAGGAGTATGATCACAAGAAGACATAATATCGCATTGAAGGCAAGAAAATAAGACAAGGCTAATAAAGACGTTTTAATGAGACGTATATCTTTAGATGGTGGTGGTACATATATATCAGGTACATATTAAACAGACAAAGCTCATAATAGTAACAGAAGTTTCAAAAAAGTCGAAGTATTTGCCAGGCAGTTCTTAAAGCACATGGACTAGAGACCTAAAAATCGCATTATTCTTTTTATTTGTCGCAGCAGGAACGGGAAAATTCACACATGTATCTCATGCCGAGAAAATGTTTTTGTCTGAAGCAATGTAGTTCTAAAGAAAATTGTGATACTCATAACATCTTTCTTTTTCACCTGAAACATGCTCTGATTTTATGGGGCATATTCTGTGATATGAGCATATTATCACTCAGATGGGAAGAGTTATAACTGTCAATAGGGCTGCGTTTTTGAACTGCTCGCGGTATATAATCATTTACCTAATGTCAATACATTACATAATAGGCATTGTATTTAACAGCAGATATTAGCACAGGTACGTGTACACAAGTTTAATGACCCCCAATTAAATGAAATATGAGCTGGGATGAAAGATCTCAAAAATCCTCAATTTTGGGCTCTCCTGGATCGCCAAATCAAGCTCATTATATTTCATGGCATCTCTGGGATGAGATGTCATGGTTAACCATGATGGAAATAGAGCAAATATCATAGAGCAAGTATGTCTACAAAGCCTCAATGGGGTAATAATTCACCGAAATCCTGTTGAATGAAGTATTCCATTTTTATGTTTAGCCAATAAGAAACAGAAAGTCTATAAATTGATCATGGAAGAAGGAGGTACGAGTTCTGGAGGCCTGTGTTCGGAGGATGTAAATTGATGAATATGATGTGCAAAAAGCGAAAAAGGTGTGAACAGCAAATATGGACACCAAACATTGTGTGAAATAAAAATAATAGAGATGAGAAATGTTGATTGTTATAAATAATCAATTTTGCACTAATATATTGTAAGTCAGGTCGATATGCTGATTAAGTGGGAGGATCGTATATTCAAATATTTGACAAAATGTTTGATCATAAGTTTGTTTAAAGTGCCCTCGATGTCTAATTCAAAGATAATTTATTTCACTCAGTTAAATTGGAACATGCAATATGACAATGACAATGCCTAAGGTGTATCATAGGTTCAAGCTTACATACACTTCAAATAACGGTTTGTGTTGTATTTCATTTTCATATTTTGATACGTGACTATTTTCAAACACGGAACAATAGTTCTTATAACTGGATGCTTTTTATGTTGCCCTGGTTTTAGAGGTATTATTAGGCATATAAGACAAAAATCACATGACTCTTGAAAACGTTTTATATTTTAGTTAAAGCTAAGTTGTGTGACGAATTACGCTAACACACTTCAAGAGTTGATGGTTTAATGTTTGCTTTCTGTTTTCTGAAAATGTGTTGAAGAATGTTTCTCGGTTATGTTGTCCATTGTCGTTTAGCCCTAATGTGTACGGGGGGGGTCGGATGATCCCCCTCTGGATATCTTTCTGCCATAATAATCGTGATTATTAGACATCCCTTTCTTGAAAAAACATATTAAATAAAGTTACAAACTTTGCCCTATAGTGAGGGCATCGGGGAAGGACTGCACATGTGAAATCGTACGAAATATTTTTCGACTAATAATTTGAAACGATAACGTTGACTCTCACTGGTGATCCACTCGATTACGCTGGTTACCAAAACGAACCGTTTTGGTAACAAAATGTCGGAACGTCGAAGGCACGATTTTTCTTTTTTCCTTATTTCACGCGTTGTAGGCAGAATCCCCACGACGTTTTTTCTCACAACGTGCATCAGTATCATATGTTTTAGAAAATGTACATGTTTGCGAAAAAATAGCTCAGAGGACAACAGAATCGTCGATTTACTTCCTCACTTAAGTTACATAAACGTTTTTTCGAAAAACAGTTAAGATCTGCACTTTTAACCCAAACCGTTTATGTAACTTAAGTGAGGAAGTAAATCGACGATTCTGTTGTCTTCTGAACTATTTGTTCGCAAATATGTACACTTTCTTAAACATATGATACTGATACACGTTTGTGTTAAAAAATGTCATGGGAATTCTGCCTACAACGTGTAAAATAAGGAAACGAGAAAAATCGTACCTTCCGGATGTTCCGACATTTTGTTACCAAAACGAGCCGTTTTGGTAACCAGCGTAATCGAGTGGATCACCAGTGACTCAATATATATTGACTCTATAATATTCAAAACTTACATCTGAGGAAACATGTGTATTGTTTGTTTGACATTCGAAAACGTGATAAATAATATATTATGTTAAATAAAACCAGACTTATTTAACGATCAACGAAAATATTTTAATTTTTCATTTCTGACGGATTTTGTAGCATAACTGGGTCACTGCACTTGATGTGCCCTAGCTCAGATTATCTGGATTCCAACTCTAAAATATTTTCCAAAGTATAGTTTGACATTAAATAATTAGTTATTGTAAACCTAAAAATAATCCATTTTGGCCAAAGGGGTATTTGTCGTTTTGAAATTGATTTTCATAAAATTAACAAATAACCCCTTGTTGATGAAATTGTTAATAACTACTTTTTCAGTCACTAAAAATTCAAATGGAGGTCAGATTCTTAAAGCTCGCCCTTTTCATCTTTCCAACGGTGTATTGGAACCTAGGGGGGTCATTTATATCACCCTGGTTTGATCTACTATTACACTACCTATCATATTTTACCATTCGACACAGGGTACGTACCAAATTAAGCGTGACAGTTGAACGCGCGGGGTGCGTTACAACACGAGGGTGATGAAATTTGAGCAAACTGATGTTTTCATCTTTTCAGAGAGATCTGGTCTAATTTCTAGATATTTTTTATATGTGAATGTCTGTAACAATATCCTAGACAGTGAACTTGGCGGTGAATTTCATAGTTAATCCTGCCATGGGCTTTCAACTCTAATTGAAAGCCTATGATCCTGCACAAACTCCCCTGGAGAAGCATCAGAGAGTTGAAACAAGTGATAAGGAGGAGGATTAGAGCCATTACACATGATATCTGTGAGCATCTAGTCACCTGGTATGTTCAAATTAGCCTCCAGAGATGAGACCGACATTTTGAGGATGTTTCGTAAAATAACCATAAAATCGCAGTCATTTAAGATAAACCAAGGCATTATTTAATCGCCTCAAAGTAAATTATTTATTTGAATTTCCTCCATCAATTTGACATGACACTTTCAGTCAACATTTTGCTTTGGATGTCCTAGTACTTCCCCTTGTCTTTTGCTTTTGCCCTGTAAACATTACATCTGCAATCCATGTGAACAGTTTTTTAAAAGTGAATGCCATTGTCTATTGCCCAGAATTAGAAATTCACGCCTCTACTTTTTGCATAAAAAATGGGCTAATGACCCTAACTGCTGTCCAAAGTGTTTCGCCTACGTCACATTTCCAGGTCAAGAGCTAAAATGTCCCTGTTTGTAATTAGATTCAGAGACAAGTGAAAGGATTGGTATCGATATGGCGAACTGAATTGAACATCTATTTGGTTGATTTAAAAAAGTATCTTGTTAATTAAATAAACGGTTTACTTTAATTTTTATCTATTTTGGGATTTTTTGTTTTAATTTTTTGAATACTTATTGTTAAATCAACCAAATTTTCCTTTGTTTAACTATAATATTGAGAGGTCTAAGAAAATGTTGTATATGCTATTTTGATCCAACAAGGTTCGGAAAGATAATCTATTTCATTCGCAAGAATTGGTAGAACGGAACAAAAAAACAATTTCACTAAAAATCAAATAATGTTAAAGTTGTACTAAAACCTTGTACTTCAACGGTGGTCGGGTGGCAAGATAAATGATCTATGCTTGGTATGTGGCGATGCTATTGAGAATTTAGTTCATATGGTACTATAGAATGTCCGGGGCATAAGGCAAAACGAAAGGATATTGAGAATATTCTTATTCAGATGTACCTTGATACCCCTCTCCCACCGAATGACGTGTTATTACCGATTTTATTTGGCGAAAATAATGTACTGACAGAGGATCAATATATTAAGATAGCTCTGTCAATTTATGGAATGTATGAGGCAAGACCAAATGTAGTTTTTTGATTAGTTAACCATAATCTTTAATGAGATTTGGTTTGATAAATGATAGGTGGACAATATCATATTGTAGCTAAAGGGTAATAGGTAAAGTGTAGGTGAACTGACGGCGTCAACGCGGTAGCCTGACGTCCGTCAACAGCAAATATTTGGTGGAGAACTTGTTTTTCTTATTGCATGTAACAGATAGTAGTAACTTGACGGCGTCAACGCGGTAGCCTGGCGTCCGTCAACAGCAAATATTAGGTGGAGAACTTGTTTTTCTTATTGCATGTAACAGATACAGTAGTAACTTGACGGCGTCAACGCGGTAGCCTGACGTCCGTCAACACCAGGAATTAGTTGTACATAAACATTTAAATTGTTTTTTATGTCCCCACCACATAGTGTGGGGCCATATTGTCAGCCTAGGCGCGTCCGTCTGTCCGTCCGTACGTCCGTCCGTCCGTCCGTCCGTCTGTCCGTCCGTCTGTCCGTACGTCCGGGAGTTTTCTCCAAAACCGCTACAGATATCACCTTCAAATTTTCAGGGATAACTTATGAGTGCATACAGATGTGGATGAAAAAATTTTAACTCGATATCTACGTCCTGTCGGCCATTTTGAAGTCAAATGCTAAAATCCTTGTCTGCAAACTTTAAGAAAAACGGCTTCACAGTTGCTTTTAAAACTTTAACATCTTGTTCAGCTCACTTCATTCTAGATCTGATTAGGTTTTGGACCTGTTAGCTCAGTCATGTCAGCCATTTTGAATGTCTTAAGAAAAGTTAGCGCACGATAATACTTTGTATCATATTGAATGGTGTTTTTGAGTTTTCATACTTTAACTATTTAGTAGCTTTATAAATAATTTCAGATCTACTTTGTTGTAAAAGCCTATGTTATTGTTAACAGTAGTAATATGTGATAATTTTGTAAGAAGAAATCAGCAAAAACACATAATCACTTTTTTATTGTCGGCCGTTTTGGATTTTTCCGTCCTAAAATCT